GGACTAATGCTAACTGGAAGTATCTCATTTAGGTGGAGTGACCCAGTGAAGGCCTCTTTGAGGAAGTGACATTTAGTTTAGGACTGAAGGATTCTAGAGCTGGTTGGAGAAAAGTGGGTCAGAGGTGGGGAAGGAGCATTGCAGTGTCTCAGGCTAAGGTCCTGAGGTAAGTGACAACTTGACCCATGTGATGAACTGAAAAGCCAGGGTGACCGCTGTGTGGTGCAAGAGGAATTGCATAGAATGAGATCAGTTGGAGCGTTAGGAACAGCCCAGGTAAGGCAGCGGCTTGGAAGTCATGCTGAAGAGTTCAGATTTTATTCGAAAGGCAAAAGCGGTATTTCTAACAGCCGACTGACAGATGCAGATTTACATTTATTTCTGTGGCAGTTGAATGACCCACCTCAGGGGAGGGTGGGGAAATTGAACACCACATACCCTGTGTCAGCTCAGCAGCAGGCTGGCAGCACCCTCAGAGTGTCATCGGGAGATGGAGCCCCTGAAGGCCTGTGTGGAAGAATCTGAATTCCCGCCAGTTGCTGATCCTGGACCCTCTGGCGTTTATTAATTCAGCCAACACATTTGTTGAGTTTTTACTTGATTAGTTTCAACTTGTTGAGTTAGATAGTGAGCCAGATAGATGCAGTGTACCTCATATAATTTGTTAATACTCAGTAGTACTACCCCCAGCTTGTCACCCTTTTCCTGTCCCCAGGAGCGTAAAGCAAATTATAATTCCTACATTCCATTGCAAGTGGGATCCCAATTGGATTCCACCAAGAGGAAGCAATTGCATGAGATTTGGAAGGTAGAGGAGGAGAAGCAGCAGCTCCTGAAGGGATGTGGGCAGCAGCGTGGGGCTTTCTTGTACCTCTGGTGTCCCCCTAAGACGCACCAATGTCAGAGCTGCTGGAAGCTGAAACTAAGGGTCATTGCACAAGTTTTGTACTTTAAAATCTCCTAAAGGTGGCCTTCTTGACCACTGCTTACCTAACCTCTAATTCCTATTTTAGCTCTTACTTGGAGTGCCTTCTGTTTTCCTGACCAGACCTTGACTGATAGGCAAGGAGCAGGGAAAAAAATGGAGTGATCTTGAGATCTGATCATACTACTGGGGGTGAGGGGGTGGCAGGGCTGAAGGATGATTTTTGACCCCGTTGCTACAGGTATCCACAGTCTCTGTATTTCCTCCTTAAGCCTAGTGTGACTTGGAGAAACAATAGTTAATGGTTGATAATTTACCCCCTAGCTCATTCTTTCATATTAGAAAAGGATATAAGATCACCTTTTTCTTAGAGATTTGATCACATTGAAGTATAAAGCAAGTTGTGGTTATCTACTTGCCTAGGCAAGATTAAATAAACCCTTGGACATCTTGCAGACTCACCTGAGCCCATGAGATCTTGTAAGGAGGGAGGAGAGATGGGCCCTGTACAAAGAGAAGGGCAGGAAAGCACACAGTCTGTGGGCTCAGCAGACTTGGATATGAACGAATCCTGACTCCATCTCTCACCAGGGTTACTTTCTTCTCTGAGTCCAGTTACTCATTGATGAAGATAATCCACTCATTTTTGTAGAATTATTGTACATAGTAGTGATGATGATAATTACAGCTAGCAGTTGTAGAGTGTATACTATATTCCAGACCCTCTTCTGAGCGCCTCACCTGAATTAATGCATTTAATTAATCCCCAAATCATGCTGGAGGCCACGGATGTAAAGAATGTAGCAGGGCTGGCAAGGTGACACTCTAACATGGATTTCTGGTTGTGTCCCTTGGAAACAACCCCAAGAAACAGTAAGTGTCTTGATGGGCCTGAGAAACTGACATAAAGGTGAGGCTAACATGCTAAGCTGGGGAAGCATACCTCGGACCCTTTTATTAAAGGGTCAGGACAACTTCTGAGGGCATTACAATGGTAGGGGATTAAAGGTGGCTTGAATTTTCATCTAATGAGGTGAGACACGTAAAGAATTCTAACGAGTCGTGCAAGGAGGGTTCTCTGACTTGGTCCTGCACAGCAGTTTGCTCCCACATCTCACCCATAATCCCTTAAATCTCTAGGACTGGCAATCCTACCCATTCTGAAAGAAATTGCCAGCTCTGAATCTTTCTCCCCACTCCATCCTCAAGGAGCCCTGGTCCGAGACTCAGAGATGTGCGCACAGGTAGGAGGGGTAAGTGAGGAGAAAATCTCCTCAACCTGAGTTTCCCACATTGGGGAGCTACCAGCCTGCTGGCTCTTTGATTTGTTTATTCAGTCCTTTTCTTGAAGCAATATATAAATATAGATACAGATGAGATAGAGATATAGATTTATTTCTTTAGCAATCACAGAGCTAAGACCTACTTTGAAACAATAATTTCTGCTAATTAGCAAGATTCTAGTAGTATCCAACCTGCTATTGTTTGGCAGGGTATTTGTTTTCCCATGATTTTGCCAACCTGGAGATGTTTGGTGGCATTATCAGAGTGATCCCAGGGTTTAAAGACTGCTCTCTCTGTCTCTGTTTTGATTCAGATTGTCCCTCGGATTGCAGGGCAGTGGGTGGGTCAAGGGCAGATATTAAGATTCTGATTTCTCCTATCACAGAATGAATCAAGAGAAGGAGCACAGGGAGATGGGAAATGCTAGAAGTTTCTGTGGGAGTTTGTGATAGAAAAGCAAGGGGTCTTAGCCGGAGACAAAGACAGAGAGGTTCATCAGTCCACCAGGAAAATCTCTGGGGATACTGGATGCCAAGCATCGGCTGTACTCTTCCCACTAACCTCTCCCCTTCTCCACCTTCTTTTATCCTTAGTGGAAGAAGGTCGATTCCATTAAGTCTGTAGATGAATTATATATGGGAAGATTCACTCAATTTATAACAGCAACATTTGTTGAGTGCTTACTTTGATGCTCAGGACTATTTTAAGTATATCAAATGCTTTGACTCATTTAATCCTCACAATGCTCTATGCAACAGGTACTTATGATCACAGCCATTTTTATGGATGAAGAAACTGGCACAAAGTTGGGCAAATGACCTGTCCTTGTCCTTATCAGCACAAAGCTGATAAGTGGAAGAGCTAGGATTTGAACCCATGCACTTTTACTCCAGAACACCACCCTAACCATCATGCAATACTTTCTCACTCTCCTTCCCATCCAGAATGTGGTATATTTTTCCCATTTGTTTGGGTCTTGGCCATTTTCCAGAAATTGTTTATATTTTAAAAAATAGAATTCAATACATTTTTTTAAAGAATTTTTTTTTATTATTCCTAATGAACTTTAAACTTACCCTTTTTCATAACTATGAATAATGTATGTGTGTGAATTCAAAAGCATATAAACTCTGCCCACCTCTGAAAGATAGCAAGACCACCGTGCTGTCAACGCTGCTCTCCTCTGTTGCACAGTTTCGGGAGCGGACAGTGGGATGTGGGCAGAAGTGCCTAGAGAGGAGGCAGCACCAGCTCTTGGAATCTGACTGTATTGAGCCTGTGGGAAGCGTTAAGGAATTTGACTACTGGAATCAAACCTTCCAACGTAACGTTTTAGACAAGGAAGTGAGATAACTGAATTTGTTTTTAAAAGCACCATTCTTGCAGCATTTTGCAGGGGGACTTGTGCTGGGGAAAGGCTGGTGGGAGAGAGACCAGTTGGCATGCCATTGTGATATTTCAGGTGAGAGACAATAACAGTGTGATGTAAGGCGATACTAGTAGGAAATGTGGGAGTGGACCGGGTGTGCAGACATGAGAAACATGGCTCGGGTAGAATCAACAGTTAAAAGTGTGGGAGAGGAAGAGAGAGGAGTTGAAGCTGTCACCAGGAAGAGTGACCTCCAGTGAAACAGGTTATACGGGGGTGATGGGGGCAGAATGTGGCAGAGAAATAAGTTTGGCACCGGTTTGGCACAGGTGGAGAACCAGAATGACAGCCTCAGAAATGCCCAAGCACAATGTAAATACTAATGAAATTTGAAAAGCAGACTCCTCCGATAAATAGGGATTTATGGGAGGTTTATATGGGAGCATGTTTGGGACTGGTACTGAGCCCTGAGAAGTTATTGGCATATAAATGGTATCTGAAGCCAGAGACAAGGTGAGGTCAGTCCAGGTAGAATCCCCATCTTTAGCATTGCATAAGCAAACAAATTGTGCAGTCAGTTAAATTTGAACTTCAGATAAACAATGAACAATTGTTTTTAGTATATTCCATGTAATGTTTAGGACATACCTGTCCCCCAAATTATTTGTTTATCTGAAATTTAAATTTTACTGGGCATCACGTATTACATCTCACATCCATAGCAGAGGCTGCCAACAGAAATGCCTCCAGGGGTCAGGAGGGCCACTTGACACGGTGAGGCGGTGTGTGAGCATGCAGGAGGGATGCAGGAGGGATGCAGGCGCCTGCCCAGCTCATGCTGACCTGGTTTGAAGACATGGCCTCTAGCGTGTTGAATACTCTAATGTTTCAAAGCGTAATGGAAATCTGTATTTTTTAATGTAGAATATCCCAGTTCTAAAAGGGGACAGCCAATGAAAAGAGGAAGACATTGGGAGGCAGAAAAGAAGCAGGTTTCTGGGTTCTATAAGGCATGTGGACCCCTGGTTTGCAGGCCCTGATCTAATCTAGGGAGGAGGAGGCAGGTCTGTACCCTGTAAATGATGATGGTTTGCAGTGTCGGGGTAAATAGCACTTGGGGGTGGGGGGTGGGGGAGGATGATTCCCTCGTGCAAAAGGTGAGATGTGGTCGGGCTCTGGCCCCACGCCTGGCTTCTCCCCTCAGCACCTGAACAAGTGCGCTGACCACTCTCCCAAAGCTGGGCACTGGTCAAAGGGCTGCACCCAAAGCGATTTGCTCTCCCAGGGCCTGAGAAAGACGAGCCTATACCAGCCTTTCGGGTAGCAGGGCAGCAGCAACTGGGGCCTTGAAGGCTTTCATCAGAAAATTGTGGGCGGAAACTTCCCGGGGTTTGCTCTGAGCTTCTTGAGGCTTCTCAGCTTCAGATGCAAAGTGAGTGGGTGTCTCTCTGAGAAGCAGAAAGAGAGAAAGAGAGAATGAAAGAGAGGTGTTTCCCTCAGCTATGGAAACTCTATAAAGAGAAAGCCGGCTTCCCTCCTCTCGAACAGTCCGAAACAAGAGTCCCCTCTTTGCCAGCTGGGCCTCCGCAGGGCTGAGAAGAAGGAGAGTCGTCGGTCCGGGGCCAGCCCGGGTCACCGGCCACCATGCAGCAGCCCTGGGATTACCCATGTCCCCCGATCTACTGGGTGGACAGTGGAACCAGCAGCCGCTGGGTGTCTCCAGGCCCAGTCCTCCCCAGTGCACCGTCTGTGCCAGGGAGGCCGGGGCAAAGGAGGCCACCGCCACCCCCGCCGGCCCTGCCCCCACTGCCCCCACTGCCCCCACCGCCTCTGGAAAAGCGGAGGGACCGCAGCACAGGCCTGTGCCTCCTTGTGCTGTTTTTCATGGTTCTGGTAACCCTCGTGGGACTGGGGCTCGGGATGTTTCAGCTTTTCCACCTGCAGAAGGAATTGGCCGAACTCAGAGAGGTAAGCTGGCATGTGGGTGCTGTGCCTGGAGGCCTGGGTGAGGCCGTTCTGCTGCGGGGGACACCGGGGGTCTGCGTATGGCTGCAGGGATCCATGTGCACCACCTCTTGCTGGCTACACACTTTTCAATCCTTTTTCCCATCTTAGAAATGAATCATTCTGGTCATTCTATTCTATAGGCAGAGAAATGGAGGCTCAAATGAGTGAAAGGCATATTTTCTATCTTGTAAAGGATCAGGGCCAAGGACAGGAGTTGTAGTTTTTTTCTCAGTTGAAAAATCAGCCCATTAAACCACTTCTTACTTCATACTTAGTGACTCGAGAAAGTAAAGGAGCTTTGACTCTTGCTTAAAAGTGAATTTGTTCAAATGGCCAACCTAAATTTCCTTGAAAATATTTAAATGTATTGGGACTATTGGAAATCACAAAACTAAGGTACAGAAGGAACAAATGCTTGGCCAAAGTCTGTATTAGAAAGGGTTCTGAGGTATTTAGATTCCCTTCCCAGCGCTTGATTTGTTTGACATTCTGTCTCCTTTGCTAAAAGAACTTCATATGTATTATACACCTTTTCTCTCTCTCTTTTGCCAGGCCACCAGCCAAAGGCATGTAGCATCATCTTTGGAGAAGCAAATAGGTGAGTCCTGTTATACATGTACATTCAGTTTCCATGGATAGTCTGTAGCCCTGAGCCATGTTGGGGGGATGCCTTGAATTCCATCCCATCCTTGGGGCCTCTGTATACTACAAGAGGAAACCTGAGTAATTCTAAATTTCTGGTCATTTTGATTTCTTGAGCTGCCCTGCACTGTGAAGTGAATTAATTGTTCAGGATCAGTATAGCCAAGTACTGCATACAATTCAAAATAATTTCCGCTTGACCTTGGAAAGAGATACACACATACCCAATGCTGGGCCTTTGCCTCCTAAGTAGCTGGCTCCAGGCCTGGCCCCTTTCTCAGGCCTCCTGATTCCCTTGTACAGGGTGATGGCTGTATCTCCTCGAGAGAGAGAGAGAGAGGCAGCGGCAGAGGGAGATGTGTCTGGGAAAGATTCTCTCCTCTTCAGACTCTAAAAGATTTCTCAAGAGTCAAGCTTTATTTTAAAAATATTTTGTAGGATAAAATCAAGCTTTTGAAAAGCAGGAAATTGATCTTTTATATTAGGATATTCTTCTGCAGTCACAGGAAAGCTTGGGGGATGACTTTAGTCATCATTCAACTAGTCGGCCAGCTGCACCCACAGAGGTCATGAGCTACCTTCAATAATAAAGGAAAACCCTGTGTATGAGATCCGGGACAGGATGAAGATGAAAATGTTCAACAATGACCTCAGGAAGTTCCAGAACATATTTTTGGAAGCTGCAGACAGATAAATTTAGGATACTGTGGTTCATTAAACTAAGGTGGATGGAACTTTAGATTTGGTAATACTTGGAAGACAGCCAGAGAGAATCTGGTCCAGTCATCTCATTTCTTAGAAGACAGATGAGGTGATATGCCCAAGACCACTGGTGTGGAACTGGGGCTGGAACTGGGGCTCTTAATGCCTTGTCACCCACAGGGCTTTCCAGTATTAGGATGGGTACCACATGAAATAGGGAAACACCCATCTCCCTATGGTGGCCCTGGAATGAGGAACAACGGTGACAAGCAGGATGACTTTGACGAGCAGGATGCCTTTGTGAAGGCTGTAGGTAAATCTCATCCTTGGAAACTGGGAAGAAAACAGCAGCTACCACCGGCTATCCAGTAAGAGGAACCTGGTCCAGTTTCTCAGGGTAAACCTTCTTCAAGGGACCCAGATTGTAAGCTCCTGTAGAAGCCATCCTTAGGATGGTGTGGTCCCTAGGTCTGAGTTCAAATCTCTAAGTATAAGAAAATCCATATATACACAGCAGAGTAGAAATTTTTGTTAGAAAACTAAAGCCTCTGGAGGATAAAAATAAAATAGCTTTGAAAAATCAATGGAATGTGGCTGGTGAAGCAGGCACTGAATTACTCATCTTTCACCCACTCTCTGGAGTCATTTTAGTAACTGAAAGTCAAGTGAGCAGATGAGTCAGTACAATTCATGCATGTGTCTACCTACCCCAGGAAACAAGTGTCTCCTCTAGATCAACCCAGAGGGAGCAAAGATTGGTGAATTATCACATGGAAATCAAATTAGCAACTATATTAGTGCTATAAGATGCAAATTAAAACAAGGAAATACCCATTTTTACCCATCAACTTAGTAAATATTTTTTTGAAAGCCCAGATTGGCAAAAATATGTGAGAGAAGTCCTCCTTATACATTAGTTGACAGCCAGTGGGCATGTAAATTGCTATAACTTTTCTGAAAAGCAGTTTGGAAAAGTATATCAAAGAATTAGAACTGTTCATTTATCTTGTAATCTCATTACTGAGAAGTTATCTTAAGAAAATGATCAAGAGGTACCCAAAAACTTGTCAGGATGTTCATCAATTCTGTATTAGGTTATTTATTATAAATAATTGAGAAGAAACTTACATGCCTCTGAATAGATTAAAAACACCATGGTGCATTCAGATGAAGGCATGGCAGGCAGCAACCCAAAAGCAGACCTTAGAAGGACCTTGAATGCCTTAGAGACTGCTTTCTATATTGTTAGATAAAAAAGACAGGTTATAAAAACAGCGTGTTTAGTTTAATATTGACCTTATAAATATATATGCACATTTTTATATTCTTAGTAAAGAATTAGGAGGATTTATACTCCCAATGTGTTTAGTGGTTTTCCCCTGGAAGGTGCTATTATAGATTATTCAAACTTTATTATTTGCTTCTTTTTTATTTTCCACTTTTCTACAGTAAATTCATTTAATCTTTTTATTCATTCACAAATGCTCTTAGAGTGTTTCCTATGTGCCGGGCTGGGTGTTGGGTGGTGGGTGATGACCAAGAACCAGACAGACAGGAGGCCTGTCCTCGTGGAGCTTTTATCGTGCTGGAGAGGATAAACAAAAGCAAGCAAACAGGCAGCATATCTCCCGGTTGTACTCAGTGTGCCCTGAGATCGAGTGGTCTGGAAGGTCCCCTCACAGGAGGTGTTGTATGTCGAGGGTAGGGGTGGGAACCTAGGGGGGATTGTTTGAGCACTGAGAATGGCATGTGCAAAGACCCTGGGGCAGGAGACAGTCAGCACCAAAGTATAGGATATTCTAATGTATTTATCCATCAGGTATTTTTATCGAGTGCCTTCTGTGAGAATAACGCTCTGCAGGGCTCTTTGAGGGATATACAGATAGGAGAAATGTGATTCTCTGTTCCACTTCCTGTCAGTACATGGCGGAGAGCCAGATAAGCTGCACAGATGGTTTGCGGGGTAGGAATGTGAGGGAGACTCAGTTTCACCTTTCCTGTTCACTAACACCTCATTCATAGTGGGAGGTCTTGGGTGGCTATGGAGGTAATGATTACTGAGGTAATGTTCTCAGCAGATTGTGGCATTTTGACACCATATACAAGTTTTGCAAGCTAATTACAATGAGCCTGATGTGGGAGTGCCTCTTTGTGACTCTTTCTTGGACGTCTTAGCTGAATTCAGTAGCTAGGGTGGTAGCTCTATCTGGTTGACATATTTGAGGTTGGAGATGTGGCATCTATTTTGAGAACCACTGTCTATTTTAACTCCTTCAATTTAATTTAGCAAACATTTACTGGTCACCTACCCTGTGTTAGAAACTGAGCTAAAGACTCTGGTGAATTAAACCTAAAGTAAGGAACTTGCCACTTATTCGGGGGAATAAGACAAATTGTACAGTTACCACAGAAAAGGAGACTCAGAACTGACAAGAGAAGTAAAGACAGCGTGGTTCTTGGTTTCAGAGGAGGGAAAAATCATATTTGAACCCCCCAAGGAAGCGGTATTTTGGCATTTACAGGGTTGATAGGAATTTGACACAGGGATCTTTTGGGGAAGGCACTGCAGGCAGAAGGAACAGCAGAAGCAAAGGCACAGAGGCAGGTAGCTGGGTGTGTTCGTGTCACAACAGAACTCCTCTCATGTGGCTGTGCCAATAGTGAGCAAGGAGAGGAGATAAGGCTGGACAGAGATCGTGTGGGAGGGGAAGACTGTGCACAATTACATGTTCAAGGTGTTGACTGTAGAATGCCACTGGGAAAAGATCTCATGGCCCGGAGGTGAATCAGCTGTCTCCTTTGGCCTCCTCTCCAGAATCCCAGGGGCAGCAGAGCCAGAGCAGAGGAGCCCTGGACTCAGAGACAGGAGACCTGAGTGTTGGTTCCAGTCTGACACTGAGTAGCTGGGTCTTCTTGGACAAGTCATTCACCTTCCAAACTCATGTAGCAATCTATAAAATGGGATAATAATCTCTACCTCAAAGGGCTGTGGCAAGTTCTAAAAGCAGTATCTGATAGGACAGCTCTTTATAAATCAACCTTTATAGTGTTTCATGGTGACAGTATGATTTATGCATATGTCTATCTTAATTTGGTTTACTGTTTACCTCTAGGTTCTGAAGTAGAGGCTACTGTGAGTTCTACAGTTTGGACTTGCATGATTAGTATATGTTAATGTTGCTACTTATGCTTTTTAAAAAATCTTTTACTGAAATGACCACCAGAATTGTAGCTAGTATCTCATTTTTACATATACCTTCCATCTCTCTGGGATACAGGTCCCTCCAATCCATCCTCTGAAAACAGGGAGCTGAGGAAAGTGGCCCATTTAACAGGTTTGTATCTGGCAGGTTTGTGGGACCTGGGAAATCCTTTGGCAGGAAACAGAACAGCTGGTTGGTTTTGAACACTGTGCTCTGGGGGAGCTGTCACTTTCCACGGTATTTGAAGCCCAAGCGTAGTCACAGCATTCTAGACAGGTCAGCCTCACATGCATATTGAGCACCTACACTAGACTGGAGAGATGGAGCTGATTCTGATATGACCCCTGCCTATAAGGAGTTCATGCTTTTCAGTCTTTCCAAAGACCACAGGTCTAGGAGGTGAGAGCTGGGAAGATGGGGAATGATAAATTATTACGTTCCTGTTACCCCAGTTTTCTAGAGGAGCTTCACCCTGCTTTGCTTAAGACTATGTAGAAATCTGAGTGAGAAGAGACACCCAGTCCTGGCACTGGCAGAACCTGTGGTCATGTATTAGAGTGGGAAGATCTGATTGCAGCATGGTAAGGGCAAGTCAGTGTAAAGTCTGTAAATATCTGAGAAGTGGATAAGTATACGAGAACGTGGTGTGCCACTGAGACTGCAGAATGCTCTTGTTTGTATCATCAGACATTTATTGAGCAAATGCTATGTGCCAAGCCTTGAGGACATGGAGATGCATAACACGTGCTTTCAAGGAGCTCAAAACCTAATAGGGAAAGATGGGTACATAAGAATTTCCATATTGGAGAGTGTTCTTTGTGTAAGGAATGTACGTAATGCTGGGGGGATGCAAAGGAAAGGGGATTTTAGCTCCGAGTGAGGGACTGAAGACCCCTTAATGTAGGTGAGGTGTTGGATGAGGTAATTCCAATGGTCCTTCCCTACATTAGAGCTTTAGATTTCCTTGGGTGTGGCTTTTCTCCTCATGGGGGGACTTCAAAGCCCAGCAGTCCTGGTGCTTCTTCTGAAGATCATAGAATCTTTGTTTCAGAGAACTAAAATCATCTCAATGATTTCTCATTGCACTCGATTAAAGTAATGTATTGTTCCAGTTGTGTGAATGGTAAAATTGAGGCAACTTGATGAGGGTGTTGAAGTGATGGACTGAGTCTGACTCCTTTGGCAGTTCTATATGAACTCAGTGTAAAAAACACAAAAAACAAAACTTATTCCAGGAGGGGCCCACAGTTCTGCCTTGGAAGCTTAGTTTGTTGGGTGTGTGAGCACTCCTGGCTGAAAGCTCTCCTCCGATTTGATTTCAGGCAAGCCCAACACAAGATCCATACCTCTGGAATGGGAAGACACGTATGGAATCACCCTGGTCTCTGGAGTGAAGTATAAGAAGGGCAGCCTTGTGATCAATGACACGGGGCTGTACTTTGTGTATTCCAAAGTGTACTTCCGGGGTCAGTCCTGCAACAACTGGCCCCTGAACCACAAGGTCTTTATGAGGAACTCTAAGTATCCCCAGGACCTGGTGCTGATGGAGGGGAAGATGATGAATTACTGCACTACTGGCCAGATGTGGGCCCGCAGCAGCTACTTGGGGGCAGTGTTCAATCTCACCAGTGCTGACCACTTATATGTCAATGTCTCTGAGCTCTCTCTGGTCAATTTTGAGGAATCTAAGACATTTTTCGGCTTATATAAGCTCTAAGAAAAGCACTTTGGGATCCTCTCCATTATGGCTCCTTATTTCAGGTGCTGGAAATGTTGTCTGGAATGAGGATTTTCTCCTTCTCGTTGACATGAGGTCCAGAGAGAAGACATGAACCAAGAGGAGCTTGAGACCTTAGGGTCCAGCAGGTCTACAGCTCCTCACCTCACCTAGGTCCACGAGCCAGATGGGAAGACAGTTTGGCTAAAGGACACAAAACGCTGGGCTGCCGTGTGAAGAGGCAGAGGCAGGGAAAAGCAGCTACCAGGGTGTTCGATATTCATCTCAATTGGCCAATAGCATTTTGGTACCTTGAAAAGGACACCTGTTAACTCACTGTTTGTGGTGGGTCTACTGTCTACCTCAGGGGAGGCTTTCAGATATATGGATATGACATGAGTGTAGAAGGGATGGAAAAAGAGGATGAAGCTTGCATGATAAGCTAAACAGACTGAAAGTCCAGTGTTCCTTTGGCAGCTTTTTAACTTCTAAATGCATCGCCTGAGCCACCAGGTAATGCTAACAGGGAGGCAAGGAGGATCTTTGAGTGACTCAGTCCATTCCCTGCACAGCATGTACATTTCCAGTGCAATTGTAGGTGTGCGCAGGTGTGTGTGTGTGTGTGTGTGTGTGTGTGTGTGTGTGTGTGTGTGTGAGACCAGAAGAGTTACACATGGACAGAGAATGTGGGGATTGTGAAGGACAGGTTAGGAAAATATGGATTGCATTTGGTGGTAGATTTTGAATGCTTCGTAGCAACCAACTCTAATAGTCCTCACAACTCATTGATTGTCAGCTATTGATGCTGTTTTCCTATAATAGAACCAATATTTATATACATTTTGTGCATCTTTTATGAAAAGAATAATAAAAAATATTTTAGAATGCAGATAAACATTATGAATGTACTTTTTGGAAATCACAAAAATTTGTATTTTTTCCTTATTATTTCTTTCCTCCATGGCTTCTTCACTCATCATGACTTAAGGCCACTTGGAGAAGAATGTAGTGGGGTGAGAAGACATGAGAAGCAAATATTTCCTTCTTTTCCAGACTTTCCTTCCCTCTCTATAGTCTCTCCCTCTGCATCCCCCATTATTCCAAGTGTCCATTACCAATATTATTGCTGGTGTTAAGCTCACCCAATTGCCTATGAATTTGATGACAACTTGCTTTTTAGCTGGGGCTGAGCCATAGCATAGTGTAAAGGGCACAGACTTCAGACTGAAAAACTGAGTTCGCGTCTTTGTCCCCCCACTTCCTAACTGTGCAGCTGCTGGGCAGGTCTTGACCTCTTGGACAAAAAAGGGCTGATATATACATAAAGTATCTGACACTTGGCAGAATGTCAAAAAATGGTACCTACCATTATTAATAAGCCACTCCGTGAGTGGCACTTCATCCTCCAGAAGAAGCTACTGACCTAATAGATGCACCCAAACACCTGGCTTCTTGTATTCTCACATTTGTCACAGGAACTTGTCCTATTTTCTTCAACTACTCACCACCATGGCATTCCCCAGACATTGTCTTCATCAGAAAGTATAGTATCCCCTTAGCATTTGACTTCAGACATTTTACTTCCACAACATCTGTTATTCCAGCTTCATTGCTTCAATATTTTCTCTCCTAAAATATATTTTTTTACCATGTTGAGACCTCTGATCAATAAACTCTATAATTCTCTTACATACTCATCAGCTCTTCCTTGATTTTAACTCCTGTCTCTCTCCAGCTGAGATTCTGCCATCTGCCATTACAGGGGATTTTCTCAACTCCAAAAAAACACTCTGCTTCTCTACGTCCCTTGGAAAAATCCCATTTTCTTGAAGCTGGCATCCTAGCAGCTGAATGTTCCTGGAGGAAAACAGATTGATTTGGTTTCACTTTATCTACTTACGTCATAGTATTCACCTATCAAATATTTAGACCATGTATATATCTATCACTGATTTATTTCTAACTTTTGATTGATTGGAATAAGTAATACCAGTACATAGTACAAATTTTAAAAGGCACACATAGGATGAAAATAAGTCCTCTTCTCACCCTGTCTCATGGCTCCATTTCTTCCCACAAAGAAGATCACTGTCTGACTATGCAGCTTTCTAGAAAGGGGTTCTACATAAATTTGACATCACTTTACACTAAGGTTTCCCAGCCTTGGTTCTATTGACCTTCTGAACTGGATGATTCTTTGTGGCGGGGGCTGTCCTGTGCTTTTCATAAGATCAGCAGTATTCCTACCCTCGAGCCACTAGAAGCCAGTAGCAGTCTCCCCGCCAACCCTCCACCCCCACCCCAGTGTGATAATCAAAAGTACCTGCAGGCATTGCTGAATGTCCCCAGGCTCAGGGTGGGGAGGCAAAAGTCACCCCTCATTGACAACCACTGCTTTACACTGGTCATCACAGATCCCAAGTGGACATTCAGTGCTGCCCAGCACTTTTTTTCTGTTCCCTGGTAAGCATGTCACTGCTTGAGACAATTACATCTTTTCCTCTTGCAAAGCAACGATATCACCTCTGGTGGAACCTCACTTCTACCACCAAAACACAAACTCACCTGCATTGGCATGATCTCTTCCTCCCATCTGCCCAGTGGAGGAACAGGGCCATCTCCCCCTCGGTGCACTGGACGCTTTCCCTCTCCCCTGCTTTGCCCCTTCAATATTTGTCTTCTCTCTTCTGGATCTTCAGACTGTGCCCGTCTGTGAGATCATTTCTATCAGCACGTATGGGTAGGCGTTCAAGTATCACCTTTCAATAAAAGACAAATGGAACCAAAAAAAAACAAAACCCCAAATCTTTCTTCACCCTTCCTTTTTCCTCAGCAATGGCTGAATTTCTGTTTTCATTTGGAGACAAACATCTGAGAAGGTTGTCTCCACACACACAGGCTCCATTTCCTCAGCCAGGAATGCTCTTTTCCAAGCTCCTCACAGGGCTGGTTTCTTATCTTTCAAGCCTTAGTTTAAATGTCATCTCCTCAAACTATCCTTACAATATCCTCTTTTTCTCATTTTATTGATATTTTATTTCCTTCTTAGTAGCTATCATAATTGTGCTTACATTATTTTTGCCCACGTAAGACATCTATTCTTTCCACTAGAATAAAAGTTCCAAAAGCAAGACCTTTTCTGCCTTGTTTACGACTTTCTCCACATCACAGAGCCTAACATATATTAGGTACTTAATAAATATCTGTTGACAGAATAAGCTTAATTATAAGGCACGTGTCTCTCAGTTTGGGGTGTGTTTCTCGGAGTTAGTGAATCCATATTTGTGTTGCCTCATGAATATGTGTGAGTGTTTCTCTAGCTTTGAGTAGATTATCCAATGGGAGTTTGAGGCTACAGACAGAAAAAAAAGAATGCATCTTAATTCATAGCATTGGGAGAGAGAACTCCTGCCAGTACCAGGAGTTGTTCAGGAGATAGTTAAGGGAACTTCCAGGAAACTAGACCTGACACGGTCACTTAGTAGATCCTCAATAAATATTTGTTGAATAAATTCAGGAACAAAACCAAGGTCCAGGCTGGAGTGTATCACTTGCTCTCCTTAAAACCCTTCGGCTGATTCACCTGCTTTATGTGCTCAGATTCCTGACCAGGTACCTCATGGAGAAAGTCAGAAAGGTATTCGCTCTTCTGCTGGCTGTTGGTCTGTATTCCCAGACCTCACAGGGAGATTCCTCAACCTTTGCTTCCTTTTCTGGCTCCAGCCGTTAAGTACAACAGTTCTAAGGGCCATGGGGAGTTTGCTGGACCATTTTATTTTGTGTGTGTATCAATGGATCCGTCTAGATAGTGGTACCAGAAAAAAGAGGAAGTGGGATGGCACTGGAACACCCTGCTGACTTAATCTTATGAGCTGAAGTAGAATCCTGGCACTTTCATTCCTCTAAGCCTGAGCTCTATGAGGATGCTTTGGGATTTTCTGAAGATAAGGTAATAGCTTCTTATGCTTTAAGTACTGTTCCCAGGAAGAGATGTTAACTGTTCCTTTAGAAACCTTGAGTTATTTTTATTCATCTCAGTAGGAACATAAAGATGGTAAAAAACCCAAGACTTTTTAACATGCTCATCAAAAATGGGATCTGCCATTGTTCCTTTGTGAAATGCTAAACCCAAAGAAGAACACTTTTAAAAAAAATGAAGCCTGGTTCTTGTTCAGTAGTTTGAGGTTTTCTTCTTTTCAAACAACTGAAAACACACAAAACCCATTTTTTTTTCTACGCCCCCCAGAGCCGTGACTGTATTCTCTGAAGTAGATCTTGGCTTACCGCAGCTTCACAGGAAGAGGGCCCTGCTGCGGACCATCGGCTGCCACCCCGAGGGGCACGAACTGGAAGCAGTAGCTCCCTGGAAGCAGGGAACTTGGGGGAGAGAGCTGGTTCCTCCTTAGGGTTCAAGATTTAGGTACAAGTTTTCCTTCGGGTTTTAAGCCCTAAGTATTCCAGGATTCTTATCTGAAAGTGTGCTGGGCACCATGTTAAATTACATTTTTCAAAGACATCTGTTTAAGTTCTGGTGTAACTAGAGATAAAATTTTACATCCGTTTTTTCTTTTTTCCTTTCCTGGGTTTTGGATCATCCAGAGGCAGGGTGAGGAGATCCCAGGAAAGCAGAATCAAAATTCCATTCTTAGGGTTTGCAGATTCAGAAATGAACCTTATTCAGAAATAATGTAACTGCTGATGGTAGCCAGGGATGCTTGGGATTCATCTAGAAACCAAACAGCCTTGGATTACAGACAGCTAAGTGGGTATCCTCCCCTTACGGTTCCCCCAAACGTAGGAAAGCAGCTCCTCAGTGATAACTTTCTCACTTTTGCCAAAGCTTCCCCTTCGCTGGGAGCCATCTCTCCGCAGTTCAAACTGGTGCTTCTGCAGAGAAAGGCCCCGTACAGATACCCGTCACCCACTTGGAGGCTCCCTCAGCTCCATGGGGTCACCCTTTCTTTGTCATCTCAGTAGGATGACATAAACATTAATCCCCCCTGCTGTAGGAAGTCCAGTCTTCTAAGTTCTCGGGGAATTTCAGGGAAGACCCTACTTCTCCTGCCAGTCCACGTAAGCGTGGGCTTCCTGGCTGTCGCCTGGATTCCAGGAGTGGTGTCATTTCAGGGAGCCTGTCACCCCCCACTGTGGAATACCTTTCTTTCCCTCAAGGCACCATTACCACAGGTTAGTGGCATAGACAAATTTTACTGAAGATTTCAGGGCAATGGAGAGAAAGTTCACTATTATACGCACAGTGTTAAGTCACACCTAAGATTGACAATTTGACATCATCAGCCTCCTACAAATTAGCCATAATTGTCTCCTGAAATGTGTCACCTGAAACACTAGTATTTGAAAAGCAGAAGCTCATTCACTCACTCAGCAAGTGTTTTTTTAATGTCTACCATGTACCAGAAACTGCTGTAGGTACCATGGATACAATAAAAAATAAAGCCCTTGGCGAAGTTATGTTTTCATGGAGAGATGGTAAATAGACAGTGAAAAGAAGCAAATAAATCCCTAGTCGGTCACATGGTAGTAAGTGTTATATGGAAAAATTAAGCTAGGTGAGGCAGTAGAGAGATGCAGGAGGGGCGATCGACACACAGTGAGGGAACAGCACATAGGGCACACCACATAGAGGAACGGCAAGGGCAGTCCTAAGACCAGAGGTATTTGGAATGTCAGAGGCCAATGTGGCTGGAGTGGAGCGAGCCAGAGGTCAGCTGGTAGGGAACAAAGTCAGAGGGGTAGCCAGGGCCGGATAATATAGGGCCCCAGAACCTTGGGAAAGGAGTGAGGGTTTCATTCTAAGTTCAGGGATGGACAGTGTGAGAGCAGGAGCAACATGGTCTAGCACAATGTGAAGGGGACACGTCAC